CAGGTGTCCATTTTAGGTAGCACTTTCCTGGAGCGTCAGCTTCAGCGTCAGACAGGCTAAGACTGGCAAAGACATTAGAGTCCTACAGGAGTAAGACTGGCAAAGACATTAGAGTCCTACAGGAGTAAGACTGGCAAAGACATTAGAGTCCTACAGGAGTCACGAGGGAGGCAAAGAGGAGGCAAATCCTACTTTGATTGAGCTAAGTATCGCTGGTGTTTTTATTTTGTTTTATTTTATTTGGTTGTTTAGCCCCTCATGCTATAATCATGTGTATTTTCTCCATTCCTGTTCATGTGTCTTCTCGCAATTATCACTGGCCCCGTGTATCTCGTAATCGATATAACCGGCCTGCTCTCGTCTATCCCACATGCTCCACTGAGATCCAACATCTAGTTTCAGGTGGCCTGTGGAATTGCCAGTCAGCTGTTCCTAAGGCTGACTTCATCTCTGGCTACGCCTCCCTGCAGTCTCTGGATTTCCTTGCTCTCACTGAGACCTGGATTACTCCAACACATCCACCCCAGCAGCTCTCTCCACTGCATATTCCTTCTCCCATACACCCAGACCAACTGGCAGAGGAGGTGGCACTGGTCTCCTGCTCTCTCCCAAATGGAGCTTTTCCCTCTTCAAGCTACCTAACTTCACTCCTTCCACCTTTGAATTCCATGCCGTCACAGTAACCCATCCTATACAGTTAACCATTGTTGTTCTCTACCGTCCACCAGGCGCCTTGGGGGACTTCTTGGAGGAATTAGATAATCTCCTCTCACACATCCCTGAAACTGGCCCTCCCGCTGTACTTCTCGGAGACTTCAACCTCCAGACGGGGAAGACAGACGAACTAACATCTCTGTTAACCGCCTTTGCTTTCTCACTGTCTCCGTCCCCACCGACTCATAAAGCTGGCAATGTCCTTGATCTCATATTCTCAAGGAACTGCGCTACTTCTAACCTCTCTGTAAACCCGCTCCACACATCCGATCACTTCTTCATTTCATTCTCTCTACCCCTTTCCAAACATAACAAACTAATCTCTTCTCTTCCTGCACTTGTCCGCCGTAACCTTCGCTCCCTCTCCCCCTCTACCTTTGCCTCGTCGGTGCTCTCAGCCCTCCCTTCCTCTGACTCGTTCCAACTCCTGCCTCCAAACTCTGCTGCAGAAACTCTCCTCTCTACTCTCTCATCCTCTCTGGACTCTCTCTGTCCTCTCACATCTTGGCAGGCTCGTCAGTCCCCTCCTGCTCCCTGGCTAAATGATGCACTGCGTGCTAATAGAACCGTCCTTAGGGCAGCAGAGCGGAAACGGTGGAAATCCAAACACCGTGACGACCTCCTAACCTATCAAGCTCTCCTCTCCTCTTTCTCTGCTTCGATCTCTCAGGCAAAAAGCACTTTCTTTCAAGATAAGATCCAATCTTCCTATTCCAATCCTAAAAAACTATTCTCCATCTTCTCCACCCTCTTGGACCCCCCCAAAGCCCCTTCCCCCTCCTCACTTCTGTCAAGCGACTTTGTTACCCACTTTGAAAAAAAGGTTGATGATATTCGCTCACTGGGTCACTAGACCCTCCTTCCACCAACACACTAACCTCCTTTTCCCCTCTCTCTCCAAGTGAGGTTCTTACCCTCATTACCTCTGCCCGCTCTACCACCTGTCCTCTGGACCCTATCCCTTCAAACCTCCTTCAGACTATCGCTCCTGATATTCTACCGTTTCTCACCCACTTCATCAACACTTCTCTAACTTCTGGTCACTTTCCAAACAGTCTCAAGGAGGCAAGAGTAAACCCTCTCCTAAAGAAACCCACTCTCAACCCGTCTGATGTTATAAACTACAGGCCTGTCTCTCTCCTCCCGTTCCTGTCTAAATCACTTGAACGCGCTGTCTTTAAACAACTCTCCTGTTATCTCAATCAGAACAACCTTCTGGATCCGCACCAGTCTGGTTTCAAGGCAGGTCACTCGACAGAAACTGCTCTCATTGCTGTCACGGAAGAACTGCACACTGCCAAAACTGCATCCCTCTCCTCTGTCATCATCCTGTTGGACCTGTCTGCTGCATTCGACACGGTGAATCATCAGATCCTCCTTCGCACTCTCCAAAAACTTGGAGTTTCAGGCTCAGCACTTTCCCTCCTCACCTCATACCTGAAAGACCGTACCTTCAGGTTGACTTGGAGAGGGTCTGAGTCCGACCCTTGTCAATTAACTACAGGGGTCCCTCAGGGCTCTGTTCTTGGTCCCCTCCTCTTCTCCCTGTACACAAAATCGCTCGGATCAGTCATTAGCCTGCATGGTTTTTCTTACCACTGCTACGCTGACGACACCCAATTAATTCTGTCCTTTCCCCGCTCAGAGACCCAGGTCGTCGCACGCATCTCTGCTTGTCTAGCTGACATCTCTCAGTGGATGTCTGCTCATCACCTCAAGCTCAACCTTGACAAGACTGAGCTGCTCTTCCTTCCGGGAAAAGATTGTCCCACTCTTGACCTAACAATCAACATCGGCACCTCAGTTGTTTCCCCGACTCAGACTGCAAGGAATCTGGGTGTGACCCTAGATGACAACCTGTCCTTCACTGCAAACATCGCTGCTACAACCCGTTGCTGCAGATACACGCTTTACAACATCAGGAAGATACGTCCCCAGCTGACACAGAAAGCGACTCAGGTTCTGGTCCAGGCTCTCGTCATCTCACGCCTAGACTACTGCAACTCCCTCCTGGCTGGTCTACCTGCATGTGCCATCCGACCTCTGCAGCTCATCCAGAATGCAGCGGCTCGTCTGGTCTTCAACCTTCCTAAATTTTCCCACACTACTCCGCTCCTCCGCTCCCTTCACTGGCTTCCGGTAACTGCTAGAATCCACTTCAAGACACTGGTACTTGCTTACCATGCTGCGAATGGATCTGGCCCTTCGTACATCCAGGACATGGTTAAACCGTACACCCCAGCGCGTGCACTACGCTCTGCATCAGCCAAACGACTCGCTGCGCCCTCGCTGCGAGGGGGACCCAAGTTCCCATCGGCGAAAACACGTGGGTTTGCTGTCCTGGCTCCAGGATGGTGGAATGAGCTCCCCATTGACATCAGGACGGCAGATAGCTTGCACATCTTCCGGCGCAAACTGAAAACTCATCTCTTTCGACTCCACTTCGAGCGATAGAACTATTAACGAAGCACTTTTATACTAATAAAGGACTGGCTTATCTAAAGCCAGTTGAGTAGCACTTGAAATGTTTTTGCTCTATGAAGCCTGATGTACTTATATGATTCTGTTTTCTTCAAGTTGTATTTTGTTGGTCGAACGCACTTATTGTAAGTCGCTTTGGATAAAAGCGTCAGCTAAATGCAATGTAATGTAATGTAATGTAATAAAGTGTCCGGTGAGTGCATATAACCCACTACAGGGAAGTGAAAACCCAAAGAGCATAACAGGGCCTTTTTACTTGAGAAAATGGGATATGTTTCTTTGTTAGCATGAAGAGTCTTTCCTTCGTTTATCCCTGCCTTGTTCTCAGAAAGATTCTACTCTAAGCTAGCAAATGTGTAATATGTGCCAGATCTGGTGCCGTGTTGAAAGCTGACAACCAGATGTTGCCTATCACAAGAAAAAAGCCCAGGAAACAGGCCCAGGTGGCTCTAAATAAAGTGCCAGCTGGAGATTAAAGTCTTTAAACAACAGCAGCCAACCAGGCATTACCCATAATAGCAGTGACATTGTTTGGACCTGAATCAGCCAGAATCACCACACATGGTAATAAGAGCAGAAAGCACACTGCCAAATACATATAACTTGGATTCTTAAAGTCAGATGTCTGTTCATATTGTATTTTATCATATTTATATTTTACATTTCAAGCGTTCAGTCTCGCCAGTTGGAATAATCATTACTTTGAGAGGTTATGGGGGTATTAGATAATAGCATGTATTTTATAGTATAGTCTAGAATTAGGAGCACATAAACAGTCTACCCGGCAGACACGCTGTCTGCAACAATAATACAAATGTATTATTTGCTTTGTAGCTGTATAGTACAATATTAAAATAAAACCTGTAATCCTGCCGATGGAAACTCCCTTATTGTCTTGCAAGAAGACCAACGTATTGTGAGGATTTCTTTGCGACTAACTTTTCATCAAATTAGCGAGATGTCATCACAAGAAGGCACAAATGTACTGAGACAAAGTATACAGATGTGTATGAATAATACAAAAAGGTAATTAACACACCATCACCAACCCCAGCCCTCTTGCCATTTTACCAATGTTAAAGATATTTTATGTTTGTAATTATATAAGTCAACAATATGAATTTCCTTAGGGGATCAACAAAGTGCAGTTTGGACTTATTTGTATTGGTGTTCTTCTTTCATGTTGTTGTTGTTCTTCCTCTTCTTCCTTGTTCTTGCTCTTCTGTTTCTTCTTTATCCTTCTACATTTTCTTAATTTTCTTCCTCTTCTTCTTTCCATTTGTTGTTCTAGTTCTTTTTACATTTATCTCTTCTTTTGTTTTCTTCATGTTCTTGTTCTTCCTTCTTGTTGGTGTACTTCTTCTCATTCCTACAAACTTTACTCTAAGTTGGCAATAATTAACCTCTTTATCATCTTTCCATATATTTCCATCATGTTTCTCCTTTACCCTTGTTTATAAATGTCCTGATCTATTGATAAAAAGGTCAAATATGTGGACCTTTCCATCTTAAACAGCCGGTGACAAGAACTATTTTTCTGCTTTATTAGATTAAGGTTTAGTGTCTATTTTAAGGTTAAGGAACTTTTTAATTAAAGGATTATGTCTTTATATCCTGTTACAGCGTTTTTAACTGCTTCTGCTCCATGTTTAGAACTGGGGACGTGTCAGTGGGCCATCTGGAGAGTATTACAATACAAAAAGAACTGCAGGATCAAACAGTAGGGTACAGACCGCCTCAGTGGATAATACTTATCACTGTCTTTCCCCCCTCCTTCTCTTCTGGTTTTTCTCTCATTCCTCAAGTACACAAACTCCAGAGAGGGGAAGAGTGGGAGAGAGACAGTCACAAAGTCTGGGAGGCTCTGGTTGAGGTTGACTTGGATCCAAATCCACTGGAGCAGCAAGACAGAAAGTTCCGGAGTTTGGACTAGGACAGAAAGGCTTTCGAGCACAGCACATCAAGTTTTAGACCGTAACAAAAGCCTTATACTGTAGAGTGATCTTTTTGTTTCCTGTTTGCAGTTTTCCCAGTGGGCTGTACCCTGAAGGAGTGTTTAGGGAATGTCTCACATGGTTTCCCAGAACTAGTGAAGTTGTTAGCAGCATTAGCAACAGTTTAAGCTGTTGACAGAAGTGCTAACAATGTCAGTTACAGCGTTTCTGGTCGTCCTCCTGTCTTTCTACCTGACTGTGGGGTCAGTCCACAGCCAGGGCTCCCCCCATGATTCCTTCATCATCCAGTACCTGGAGAGGAGACTGTCTCAGATGGAGGTAGGTGTCCCTGAGTTCCTACTCGAGGTTGCTGCATTTGTCAGGAGACATTGAAGCTACGGCTGCATGATTTTGAAAATTAACTTATTGAGACATTTTGACTGATAATGCAATCAGTATGCAATATTCGTGAAACGTTATTCTCAATATCTGTAAAAATATGTGAAATGATTTTGGTGTGATTTGTACCAGACTACTATTACACATATTTAGCCTTTAACAAATATGTACATTCCTGTGATTGGAATATAGCACTAGTCCAAGTTGCTATTTGGGTAACATTTTGTTTAATTGTGCTCTATTTATAGAACTATTACCTTAATCCTCAAAGCATTTACTCACACATGACCTGATGTGACATTACCAACTTTTTTGATATGATGTTGGAAAAATGAGACCTTGAAATGAGCAGGGTAATGAATTACATAAGAGATATCATCTGTGTACAAGATGCTCACATCATCTGGGTGCCAAATGTTTTGCCATCCTCTGATTTTCATAATGTCTTCCTGTTATGGGTGTCTGATTGGGACTCTAAAAATATCTACGCATGTGTTCATCAGATGAGAAGCAAAACAGCATGTTTCAGTTATGTAATGCACTACACTGGACTTTATTTAAAAGTAATGTCACATCAGCTCCTGCTAACACGGTACATTTACCTGTTCGCTTACTTACTTATCAAAGATTGTATTTGAGTACACTTTTGATATTCTAGTACTTGAGTTGTTATTTCCATTTCATTGCCGCCATTTGTAAATGTAAATGCCTCCAATTAATTGCAGGTAGATGTACTTTTTACTTTATTCACATGTATTTTCCAGATTTTATTGAATTATTGAAAAACTAATATGAATTATCATTTATTTTTGTATAAGTTGAACTAGTCAGCAGTATATTAAGTAATTCAATTACCTCCACTTTTACTAGCTACAACATTAAAGTGACACATTACAGTTATGAATCACTAGCTGGTTATACATTATATTTAATTCTAAATTAGGCAACTTTGCAGTCTATCGACAGTCTATCGAATTGAGGTGTATTCCTTATGAATTTACCAATTGTAGGTAGAAAGGCATGTTTTATATCTTTGAATCTGTTCTCATAATACTTTTTCTCTGTGTCAATGGTATCAGGAGCGTATGAATCAATGTGAGCAAAAGACAGTGGGCGTCACCCAGAAGACCTATGACCTCTCCTCTGAAATCAGGGGTTATCTGTCCACCCTCAATGTTGTGAGGTAATTCTGTCTGAACAAATTAATATTTAGCTATTTTAAAAGCGGTGTTAATATATGCAGATGATTGTGTGCAGTGAGGTGCATGAGAACTGTGAGTGTTCAACTGTTTTGCTCTGTAGATCAGAGGTGCAGAGCGAGATGGACAGCGTGTCTGCCCGTGTAGACCGCGTCGAGAGGGAGCTGGAGTATCTCGAAAACAAGATTCCCACCCAGACTGACATCGAGATGGAAGAGGCACTGCTGGAACAACAGATCAAAGCTGCAGAATTGGACCTGCTGAAGAAGAAAGCCAAGATTAAAGTGGAGAAGGGTAGGACATAGGCCAGTGGAGTTGTTGGTGGTCAATTCATATGTATAACAGCAGAACATTCTGTTACAGTTCATTCATATTGTCTCCAACATCCCCAGACTGCAGCATTGGCCTGAGTCAGATCAAGTCTCTCAAGATTGTGAAGAAGGCAGGAGACACCTATGGTTCCTGGTTCAAGGACCCCTCTCAAGGGTCAACGAAGGTCTGTTCTTCATGTGATTACAGTATTAATGGTCGCTTCTTTTTGTAGGCAGACTGAACTTATCCACCACTCGATACTGGGATACTGATGGATGGATCTAAGCGTGGTGCATGAATGAGTCATAAACCGAGAAATGAGTTCGCATATTAGCACTTATGAGTTCCCACATCTCGGAATCAATGTTTTTTTAATAGTTTTTGGGTTATATTCCTGATATAAGGTCTGCCGTGAATTGAAATTAACTAAATGTTATGCTTTGTCTTACGACATGAAATATGTCAGTAAATACTCCACTGGTGAACATTTGAAGCTTTAACGTGTCTTATCAACAGTGGTTGCTAACAAGTGGCTAAATGAGACTGATAAAATACATCAAGCCAATCATTAGCTGCCTTTAGCTAGCGTTGGTGACGTGAGGTCATGTGACCGTCAATTTATAGCAGTACAGCTATAGTATTTACTTCTGGCAAACGCAATTAATATTTAGCTATTTTAAAAGCGGTGTTAATATATGCAGATGATCCTGCTGAAGAAAATGTGAAAGTATCATAAACGTGTGTTTGGCACTGAGCTTATTTTCTGCAATATTCTGAAATCCAATGGAACATTCCCATTGTTTTTATGTCGAGCGAACCCTTATGCTTACTTCCGGTCGGCCTTCTAAAACATGTCATCACTGCACCTCTCTATAGATGTCATGTAACAAATAGCACTCATCAGCAAGGGATACATATCATGTAGATATAAAAAGGAAATATAATACTATATAATCACTATTTTTAAACCAAGAATTGAATGTAAAAGCTAAATTGCATGATACAATTTTCCCTCACTTCTCAACTGGTCACGACTGTATATTTTTCAGGTGTACCTGCTCAGTGGAATCAGTAACAACACTCTGCTGGAGTATGATTCCCTGCACAGTTTCATAGAAAGCAACACCACCACACCAGTGAAAGTGTTGCAGCTGCCTTTTCCTTGGATCGGGACAGGTCAGCTGGTCTACAATGGATTCCTCTACTACCATAAGGCGGACACTCCAAACCAGATACTGAAGGTGTGTGGAAAGTAGTTAAAGCCTCATATTGGGTATGTGTGTTTTTCCAAAATAGGGCCTTTCTCTGTTGATTTGCTCGGTTTGTAAAATATTAAACGGAATGAAAAAACTGTTTAAACACTAGAGGTGACCATTAAAGGATCACATTGCTTTGCAGTACTGAGAACACTGACTGCTCATTGCAAAGACTTGGGACTTTGACAGTGTTGAAGTCAAACTGCTGTGTAGTTTTGGCAGTAAACTGACCTCAGATCATTCCAGAGGAGCTTAGTCATTGGGAGTTGATTTTTACCCTATTTCCTGTTAGCTGAGTTCACTGAGCTTACAGTTCTAAAATAAACACTTTTATTCCAGAGCAATGAGATGTCTTTTTTTAAGATACAGTATTATGAAGCAGATGTCGTTGCCATAGAAAGTTTACTGGAAAAAAGGTTTATAAAAATACTTTAAAAGAATAAAATGGTTCTATTGAAACTACCAACATCATCTCATAAACTATTAGATGGTGTCCGAGACATTTTGGATATACTTTAGTTATGAAACAATTGATTCAGCTGACATTTCATGCCTTTTCCTCTAGCACCACCATGAGGTATACATTGTGAACTACTGTACTGAATGAATTGTCATTAAACTTTGATTTTCTATTATCTTTTCATATAGCACCATATTCTGGTCAAAATTCAGATTTGTAGTAATACTTGCTGCTGAATAGCAAATGATTGCCTGCTTGATTAAGATGGATTACATTATAAACAATACATGTTAAATACCCGCATGTTAGCATTGCCGTTTTGTACAATTTACAATGCTGACATTAATATTTGGCGAAAAGTAACAGTGCGCTTGAGTCACTACAATATTTGTAGACAGGAGCATAGAGTATCTATGTTTCTATGGTTGTATTTTCCACAGTTCAATACCCTCCTAATTTAATACATTATGGAGACATTTTATAGACCTAATATGTTCTTAGCAATTGTTCAATTTGTCCATATGTTGAAATTAACCACATACATTTCACAGTTTTGTTATAATTCTTGAATCCTAACTCAAGTTTGCAAGCAAGGCCGATTTCTTGACTTGAGATATTGATATCTCCACAGTGACTAAATGCTTTTTTAACATTCAAACTGGATTCAAAGTGTCCGTCAAGCTTTGGTATTTTGCAATTTGATCTGCTGAAATAGCCCTTTCAATCTTTTACAATGAGGCACCTGGGAAAGTAGACTGTTTGTACTCATCCAATTCTGGGATAAGAATAACTGAAAATCCACGTTTTTATGAAAGTATTGCTTAAGTACTCTATCCCTATCTGTTTTTCTCACATGGTAAAGGTGGACCTGTTGAATGGTACCGTGGTGGACAGTACACTTGTACCAGGAGCGGGTCGTCTACCAGTTTACAGTCTGAACCCCAACACCTACCTGGACGTGGCTGTGGATGAACTTGGTCTCTGGGTCATCCATGCTGACCCTGAGTATGGAGGAAACCTGGTCATAACCAAACTGGATAAAGGTAGAGAATACCACATCTGTTCATAAATATGTAAGTAACAAGTGTTGTGTCTTTATTTGCGTACTTCCGTACTTACATGTGCTATTTTGATGTGCCCAAAAGTGCTGAGATAGAGCTCTCATAAATGTCAAAAAGTAAAGTGTGGAACACTGGACATTAAATGAATCGCCATCTTGGCTAACCAGCTGCGGCAGCGGTTAGCAGTACAAATACATGTGGTTTTTTTCCCTATTTAAAAAACTTGCCACAATACTGGTGTTGAGAAGATGCCACTGTTAATTGTATTGCTTTAATTGAGAAGTCTGTAATGTATCATACCGCTAACAATAATGTTGCTAACTAGCTAGCCAACAGTAGCGATCAGCACTTATTTTAAGGGCACAGCAGCCATGTGTGATTTGGGAAAACACTACACGGTAGAAATTCACACAGCGCAAGTGTTCACAGTGCACAATATTCAGTCTACTAAGGGAATTGAGCACTTTTCTCCTGTTTCTTTCTCATCTCAGGTAGTTTGGCAGTGGAGTATACCTGGGATACAAAATGCAGAAGCCGTGATGCGGAAGGAGCCTTCCTGATATGTGGGACCCTCTATGTGGTCTACAACACACGCTATGGAGGTCGCTCCACCATACAGTGTCTCTATGACATTCATGACATCATCCACAGGTTGGATTACACACAGACACAATATGACTTAGACAAAAATATAATTAAGCAAATGTATACACAGTAAACAGAAACAGGGAAAACTATATATAAATCACACTGTTCACACAAGCACACTTTCATTCACATAAATATTTTTTTTTAAACTGGAGCAATGTTCATTTTATTCTGCATTTTCCCTTTTCTGCAGTGATGAGAGCCCTGTCATGTTCTTCCCAAAGCGCTACACCAGCCACAGCAGCATCCACTACCACCCCGGAGACAAACAGCTGTATGCCTGGGACGACGGCTACCAGACAATATACAAAGTGGAGACGCACAGAAATGATCAAGTCACTAAAGAATGAAGATGATCAACATCTTTCAAAACATGTGTTATCACTAACCAAATTTGGAAGGAAAAAAACGAGGAAACATGTATGAATATATAGCTTATATCTACTGTTTTATAGTTATCTTTTGCTGGCAATAGAAGCTAACTTTATCAATAGTAATTGTTAAAGGCCTAAAGACTGTGTCAAACAAAAGGCATTTTATATAGGCTTTATATTTTGTATTACCACAATAAAAAACATTGAAGTGTTTTGTGTATTTTACTTGCCATCTACGGAGCCCCCCTGGTGACATTGGTGAGAAAAATATTAATACGTGGCCACGTATTATTAATACGTGGCCACGAATGAGTTATTATGTTCCCACGCATTAGTAATTTGTGGGAACACAATAATTATTACGCAATAGACATCAAATAAATATAAAAATATATATATTCACAGTCAAATATATGCTGGACAAGATTTAGCATAAAAGTATTATGCAGTTCATTAAGCTGTTGTTTCAACTTGAGTTTTCTTCCTTTTGATCTGATGCGTCAAAACCAGTATAGCCTACATACTGGAAATTAAATCAATCAGTCTGTATGCGTCATTTGGATCAAGGTCTGACCCGACAAATTCATCATTAGACCTCCACACAACCGGAAATACAAAAAGCAGACAAGCAATGTCGTGACAAAATAGAAGCAATAGAAACAAAAGAGATATTATAAAAACATTGTGAATCTTAAGCTTACTTCTTAACTTAGAGATATTATGTTGTAGCCTACATTTCCTTTCAAAAGTGAATTGTAATAGCCTTAGGTAAAGAAGCCTGCTACCGCATATGCCATAATACTTAAATTATATAAGAGATGTGTGGTAGCTAGGAAGACCTAACAGCATATTTTTACACCGCTGATGAATAGGCTATTATGAATGTGGCTATATTGCTTCTTATACACTGTAGTAGGCTATTGTAAAGAGAGCCGTAATGATGATGAGTATGGACGTCATCATTAATGAAGCAAGCTTTGATAAATAGGGGTTTACTGCAAAGTAGTGATGGGATAGTATGACAATAACAGACACATTCCTAAATAACCTGTTTAAAACAGATACAGTATCTGGAGACAGGGCTGCCCCTGGCCAACTTGTGGCCCCACGTAAAGTTATCTGATGAGGCCCCCTGTCGTGTCGCGAGCGTCGACGGAGGGGATGCTATTAACGCTACGCTCGTGAACTCGTGAAACGAGCGCCGGAGCCTTGCAGTGGCAAAACTGTGGCGCGCTTAATTGCGCATAAGCTGAATTGCGCCGCATTTGCGCATACAGTAAAGATGAGGCTCCCTCCGCAAGATGAGGCCCCACGCAGTCTGCTTGATCTGGGTGTAGGGAGGGACGACCCTGTCTGGAGAGCATCAAAGTCTTTCAAAGTCACCCACGAAAATAATATGATTTTCTTATCACACAATTCTTTGCCACTTTTAAAAAGTATTGTATCCATACACTTTATGGATACAATACTATATGATAAACTAGCCTATGAACTATCTGTAAAAAATGTTCATCTTAAAAATTGCAGAGGCTACTCTATGTTACTCTTCTCTAGTTTTTTTTATTAAAACATTATGAAATCTACTGGTAATTTATGAATTATACTAGTTATCTACGTCATTAAATGACATGTTTTCCTAATGTTAATTCATATGACTTTTTTGGAATTGTTCCCGTGCTCAATGTTTCCCTCTCATCCCTCAATGTATAAAATAGCGTCTCTACCGTCTACCATAGACTGTATACATGTCTCTCCAGCTGAAATCCCCCCTCTAGTTTGAACGTCTCTGACCATCCCGCCCATTTTCAGTTGACGATGACGTGATGAAAGGGGCGGTTCTAGTTTGACCGTTGAGTTTGACAGTCGCTAGCAGGCATTGTTTTCTGCTCTGATTTTTAAACGCTTGTTCAACTTTAAACCACTTTCTTTGTAACTATGAGGGGGAGAAACAGTAGTAACGCCAGCAGGAGAAGCTCCACCATAAGAAGACGCAGTGAGAACTTGCGTTTTGATGAATTCGGCTTTGTTCTTACTAAACGAAAGGACAAAAAACGTCATCACCGATGTCATGATTACAGGTGCGGGACAGGGGGACATTAATGTAACGTTAGCTCGTGAAGACTAGCTTAACTAAGCTAGTTAAAGCCATCTGTGAGTTAGCATAATATGAGTGTATTAGACCAGAGCATTTAAAGTTATTGAAGACTGTTAAATTAACAGTTGACGCTAGAATATTCACTTTTTATTCTGGCACCGTCACACCCATCTAATGTTTTATTTTATTATTTGCATTCGTTGTTAGTTAATTACAGAAACCGTAAATTAGCGATGGTGGTTGCGTTAACATTTTGTGATGTACAAAGGACTTTTATGTTAAACTTTGTAACGTTCAGAGGTGGATGAAGTACTGAAATAATTTACTTGAGTTAAAGTAGCAATACTACGGTTAGAACATTACTCAGATAGCCTACAAGGAAAAGTCCTGCATTCACAATACAACTTAATAAACAAAAATAATTGCATCAAACTGTAATTTAATATTATTTGAATTACTTGATACACTGCTGGGTAGCTTAACCTATACCAATATATTATAATGTGTGTCGATTTGTATTTTGTAACCTAAACTGCAATGTAACCAGTAACTTACGTAAAACAAATGTAGTGGCGTAAACGTGCAACATTTGTGTAATATTAACATTACTTTATTACAGTACTTGAGTAATGTACTTGGTTACATTACACTACTGCTAAGTTAAGGTGCAGAATTAGCCGTTAAACCTACACATTTGACATTTGAAATTTCTTAAATTAAGTATTTTTACTCGCCTAACCTTTTTACATGTATAACTTTTAAACATTAGAAATATGGAATACATAAGGTAACATTATCCCTGAATATTTTTAAATGAGGAATTGTATTTTTAAAATAATATTTCTTAATTTCTGCTGGTAAACGTGCCAAAAATCTCTCATAGTTGTATTTGACTCGAATTATGTAACATTAAAATGTACCCTGTATTTGGCATGTTTTGGGTGATATAAGTGTTTCCTTATTAAGTTTAAAGTGCTAGCAATATTGTATGCAGCATAACTAAATTGTGGAACGAATATGTTTCCATACAGTTTTTATTCAACATTTAGTCCAAACATTTGATGGCCAATAAATACAGCTGTAAGAAAAATTATGAGAATGCTGAATTGGTGGTTTCTTGTCAGAGTTTATCTTCCGTACCTTTGAGACAGATTAGCTCATGAAGAATAATCAAAATCTCGCCACTTCTGCACAAATTGATAAGTAGTTTTACTTCCAGCACATCTATCTGTGGGTCATATACTTTTAACCCTGGAGGAAAGCAAAGTCCCCGACACCGCATTGGAATCATTTCAGCGATCACGTGATGAAAAATATAACTCTATCCTGAATCTGCTCAACGTAGCCATACAATCTTAATGACCAGTGATTGTTTTTAAATATGAGGCCAGTGTTTTCTGTTTCCCAATAAGTGATGAGTCATTGCTCCCCATGTGTTGTCTCCATCAGCTACCCTCAGCTGAGCTCAGTGAGAGTGAAGGAGCTGTGTGAGCTGCTCAGCTACTGGAATGGAGCCAGCTTTCTCTGCAAGAGCCAGGTGAGTCATTTCAAAACCATCAGTTCAAATGTTAACAATCTACCCTCATTTTGCAGAACCATTACCATGTGGTTATTGATTCATTAGGCAGCTTGTTTTCTTCACACTCTTGCTGTGTTTTCAGATTGAGCGATTCATCAGGATGGGTATTCCTCCGAGTCTGCGAGGTAGAGTTTGGAAGTGTCTCCTCACCATCGACAGTCTGAGAGATACCAGTGACTTCAACTACCAGGTAAACTACAAGCAGACATTTACTGACGTTATCCTTATATTTATCATATTTCATACCCTAGTACTCGTAGTAGTACACGAATATTTCTTCTATTACATTATTTCACCCACTTCTTTTTTGAGGCAATGATTTTCTAAAATGTTTATATAAAACCAAGTTTCAGTAAAATGTCATATAAAAGATGAAAAAATTGGATACAAATATGTATATTAAAATGAAAGGTTGAGGTTAAAATGTGCACATTGTACTACAATATAACCCATGAACTAATATATGAATATTAGTATTGATCAGGATTTTAAATCTACCACAGTGTTGAAAGCAGTACTGTAGAGTCTGTTTAAAAAAAATAAATGCACTTTTATATGAACTTTTACGGAACAAAAATAAGTAAAGAGCAGCAAAACGGCTTGTATTCTGTAATTAAATAAGGCTTGAATTTCCTTTCTGAATGGTTCGGCCAGCAGATGTCACCATTTCTCATCATCAGTGTTATAGAAAGCTTCATTTCCACCATCAATACTTGCAAGTTTGTAATTAATCCAGGCTCGTTGAATGTTATCAATGTGATTTCTAACAATAGGATGTGATGGTCTTTCTCCCACAGAAGTGTTTGTTGGAGGTGCGAGGGCCCCTGGTGGACCTGGGAGTCAGTGAGTACGGCATCCTGTCGGCCATCACCACCCTGAGCGAAACCCAAAACGATCTGGGTCTGAACCAGCAGCTCCCCCGCTGCCCCGAGCTCCGATACTCTGCAGACGACATCACGCTCTTCAGGCAGATCGCACTGGACCTACGTGAGTTTAAACTGGAGGATACATTAGTAGGCTTAGTGTGTGTGTTGAATGTTGGTTTTTTAAGGACATGGACAATCTTTTTAAAGGGAGGATCATTCGTCTGGTTTATTTAGTGCTTTAAATGTGGTAGATGGAATGGTGCAGTGATGATGTGTTTTAGCAGGCCGACCCGGAAGCTATCAGCAATGTATTCTATGATAACTTTAGACGGATTGAATATGAATATACTGTAGGCCTTCACCTTTAATTATATAAATACTATGAGTATGTTATAGAAGATATAGCTCTTTAAACTGTTTTATGAATAAAATGAGTAAATAAACTAATCTAAACTAGTCTGTAGGAAACACATTTATGATACTTACATTTTGTTTGGCTTGATAATCTAGAAAAGAAAAAGCTTAACGTTAGACTTTAAACAAACTACATCACGGTCACATGACTTCACATCACCATTTTATGTTGTAACAAAATATGAAAATCTTGTATTAACAGCAGAGCCAATTTGAATCATTTAGCCAAAAACATGTGGATGTGGTTTAATGCTAACTTATTTGTGAGGTGTACGACTCATTCCTGCACCACTCTATTGGGAATGTTGACCTTTTAGAACTACATGTGTAACTTTGCTCTTCTTGTTGAAATGTTTTTCTTTTAGTGCATTAAGTTTAGGGTTATATTGGAAGTTACTGAAGTGACTAGCGTACAGCACACATGATGAATTTGACAAAGGTACAGAGAAAATAGAATCTCTTGGAACACCGCATAAAACAGATTTAATATCTATTGTTGTGAGAAAAATATAAGCATATGTGAGATTTATTTGATCTGTTCCATTTTGCAGAGCGCTCCTTCCCGACACACCGCTCTCTGATGGGGGACAGCCCAGAGGCCATCGAGGGTCAGGCTAAACTCTTCCGGGTCCTCATCGCTTACGCCAAATACAACTCACAGGTCGGATACAGCCAAGGTACTGATCATGCTTTCACTGCATTCATTTATATAACACACGTGGGATTCTAAAGCTCCTTTCACACATCCAATGCAGTCCTGGAATGATTGACACATTATCCAGAGGAGCTGAATGTGAGAAGACATTTAGTTTTTGACAATATTTAGAGATCAAATGAGAAAACTGCTTGAGTATTTTCTTGTCTTTCTTTGCTCCCCAGAAAATAATATTTAGGTGTGTTTTAGTTATGTTGTTGCCCTGTTCTAAACGCCATGAGGGATTATTGTCATTTGAGTTTAATTGTGTTTCCCTAGTCTTTAATGACGATATCTGCAGTTCTTACATTTACCACTAAATGGAAGCAGAGGACTTTTAATATTGAGTTGCTGCATCATGCTCTTCTCCGGTACCCTCAGGATCATAGTGAAATCATATTTTTTTTACAAACTATTAACACTTAAAAAATAGACAAATAACATAATAATAATAAATATATGTATTTATTTTTATTTTAATCATTTATTTTTTTATAATCTATATTTGAATATCTTGGGAATTGTTTTTGTTTTTATTAATATTGATATTGGATTACTAAAATATGGAAATCTCCTTAGCAAGGAAATCTAATACATCACCATGTCTTAAAAATATAGATCTAAGATCAGAAACGTGTACTAAGTTTTTCCCACGAGGGATACAGTCTGATATCCTCAATATACTTTATATACATCCGCCAAGAAAATTCCATATTTCTATTCTATTGTGATCTCATCTTGCGGGGGCAAAAACTAAAAGAATCTTCCCTTCTCTTGATCAACATTCAATTGATGGTTGACGGTGTCCCCTCTCCCGTCACACTGTGCCTCTGCATTACAGTGTGTCCTGCCCTCCTGCTTCTATAGTGATTAGGGCTGCACCATATTGGAAAAAACTGACATTGCGATTTTTCCCCCCCTGCGATATGAAAACATACAGGAATTGAAGAAAAGACCGTTTTTTTCCGCAAACCATCCTTTCTTGAACTTTAATGCTATACAATTGGTATTTTTTTAAACTATATTTAACCGGCGTGAATATCGCGATTATCGTCACGACACGATATATCGTGCAGCCCTAATAGTGATGTATCCTAATAGAGATGCAGTAATTATGATGAGGGTTCATATTCACAAAGTGTACCAACGTTATGCTCTGCCATCGTGTGTGTGTGTGTGTGTGTGTGTGTGTGTGTGTGTGTGTGTGTGTGTGTGTGTGTGTGTGTGTGTGTGTGTGTGTGTGTGTGTGTGTGTGTGATGTGTGTGTGTGTGTGTGTGTGTGTTGTGTGTGTGTGTGTGTGTGTGTGTGTGTGTGTGTGTGTGTGTGTGTGTGTGTGTGTGTGTGTGTGTGTGTGTGTGTGTGGTGTGTTGTGTGTGTGCTGTGTGTGTGTGTGTGTGTGTGTGTGTGTGTGTGTGTGCGTGTGTGTGTGTGTGTGTGTGTGTGTGTGTGTGTGTGTGTGTGTGTGTGTGTGTGTGGTGTGTGTGTGTGTGTGTGTGTGTGTGTGTGTGTGTGTGTGTGTGTGTGTGTGTGTGTGTGTGTGTGTGTGTGTGTGTGTGTGTGTGTGTGTGTGTGTGTGTGTGTGTGTGTGTGTGTGTGTCAGGGATGTCCTACATAGCTGCTGTGCTGCTGATGCAGTTGGGGGAGGAGGAGGCGTTCTGGGCTATGACAGCGTTGTTGGAGAAACCCAAATACCTGCCCCAGCTGTTCGACCTCAGCCTTACCAAGTAAGAATGAGCTTAGTGTATAATAAATAGTAAATACAATTATACTTACAAATAAAAACAATGACTTTAACTTCATTAGAAAAAGTACGACATAGTTCTGGATAGAATATATTTTTAATTAATGAAATCGGTTGATATTTGAAAGTTTGTTACATTTTTGTTTTACTCTTTTTTGATCTATAAAGTATATCTAATTTGTATTCCATTTCTTATTTAAATATTACTAAAAACATGTGGCAATGTTTTATTTGGTGCTTTGCTAGAGCACCATTCCCAAAGATGGCTCACAGGCTGAGTGCTGCAATATGTATCCAATCAGTGATGAGAAATAGCACCAACTTCACTCTGCATGGGGTTCATTAGGAAGGTCCCAATATTAATCCCTTGTACTAATGCAGACTTGACAAAGAACATCTTAATGGTGTCATTGGTGTGGTTATATGTAAATGGGATAATGTATATAGTTCCCAAACACTTTCTGATTTTGCATTTTAAGAGTAAATTCAGTGAGCTAATGTAAGAACAATATGTGGCTTATGACATGTATGTATATGCACAATATTTATGTATACATTTACTGTTCATGTTTTTAATTTATATTTTAGCTTTATTTTGTTACATTTCTTTAATCATGAGTAATGCATATTAAGATTCTGCTGCGACATAAATAATCAATGTCAATGTAGACGCCACTTATGGCTGTGTCCTTAGTTGAAAGCAGTTTAATGTTTGGAACACAGCAGCGTGCACTGCTTGTCAAGTGGCGACGAACAACCAATCACAGCTGGAATACATCTTTCCTGTCTTCCATAAACACCATTCAAGGTTAGCCAGAGTTTTAGATCTGTACAGTGTTTCAACTTTATACTTTTAATGACTTCTGCTGCTAGATGTCATCGTGTTGACACACGGAGCTGAGCAGAGCATAGAGAACACATTTGTCCACCAAGACAGACATATTTAACATCAGGTAGATTGATACTGTAATATTGGTAACAAAAATAAATAATGAAGTCGGAGAGTTCATGACGTGAAGTAAAGGAGCTTTTCAAACTCTCTGTATGCAGCTGTATGCAGCATTTACTGTAAGAATCACACACATTTATTCATTAGTGTATTCTTGTTCAGTGACCATGCTTTGCCGATTCTGGCTGCTGTGTTAATTAACAGTAGTTACATAATCTTCAAAATGAACCACAACCATGTGTGCTTGCACGCATTTGCGCTTCACAGGTGTGCTCCAGTACTTCTACAAATAGCACGACACCCCTTATAAACTGTAATATTTTGTCTAATCAGGGTCCAGCATCAGGTGAAGGTTTTCGACCAGTTTCTGAAACACAGGAAGCCGAAGCTCTCTCAGCACATGGTGAGTGCTTTTCATTTTTCATTACTGTTCAGATTTTCAATCACAGGGTTTTCTACGCAGCCTAAAATACTTTGTTTTTGTGTAGAATGACCCTTTTTACATGGTGTTGAAAAAGTGAAAGAAAATGTCTGTTTGTACTGGACATTTGAGAGTCGACTAAGAGGGGAAATGTTTCTGAAAAACCACAATGACAAGAAAAGTCTTGAAATGTGTGTTTGTGTTTCAGTCCATAAATGGCTAAGTGATGAGTAGTTAATCTGCGAGAGAGAGGCCACTGTAATGTATCCGTCAGCAGCTGGGCCTCTCTGTCACACACTGAGTTCAGCTGTAGGCTCGTCATGTTCACTTAGTCTGTGAAATGTCCTCCCTCTGTCCCTATCATTATTTAACTATTTTTACGTAATGCATTTAGAAAAATTCATAGCTGACACTTATTGATAAAGAGATGTTTTCACTTAAACAAAAACATTTCCTGAAGGGATGCATAAAACATGAAAAAAGGAAAATGCATCAAGAATATGGGCAGAATAAATCTGAAAAGCCAATTTGTGAAAGTAATAAACATGCTTAGTATAACTTAAAGGGGACCTATTATGCAAAATGCACTTTTTGATGTCTTTTATACATAAATATGTGTCCCCGGTGTGTCAGGGAACTCACAAAGTGTCAGAAAACAAAAACCTCTCTTTTCCTCCGTTCCAACATCTCTAAAAAATAGAAAAAAGGGGGGTGCTAACAAGCAGATCCAGAATTTTCGCTCCTATTACGTCATTGGCGACATCCGGCACACGTGACACGTCCCAACCTATCGTCTCCGTATACAGTCGGAGCTGTGTGTCTGTGTATTCAGCAGGATGTCTGCTGGAGGCACTTAAGAGTAAAGTTGTTATATATAATACATATAATGGCACTGTTCTAGCGGTAAACACTTAAGAAAGAACAGGTCAAGCTATGTGCTGTATCAGAAACAATGCGCGGTGTGTTTTGGGAGTAATATGCTCTGTGTTGACATTAGCATAGCAACACTCAGAGCTAACCATGGAGCTAACGCTGTAGGCTACTGGAGAGAATATGTGTAACTTAATGTCCTTGTGGTAAACCAGTGTGTGAAAAACAACACGTCCGTACGTCCGGGACGTGTTATTTACAATATCGGACAAGTACATCTTTCCATTGACCACGTAAGCCATGCTACTGATGCTGGACAGTTTTTCAGTGGCTGCACAATAAACGGCAACATACAAATGAATGTAAATAAATAGCCAAATAATGGATCAACGCTCTCTGTCTAATATGTTCGCTAGCTGTTAGTGTTGTTGCATAGCAACGACCTCGCACTATGTTTTGTGCAGAAGGCAACGGAGGGACTATTTTATTTTGAACATCATTATTTACTAATAAAAACTATTTAAATTAGTGTGTATTTTTCTTTCATATTGCCACACTTGGTAACCGTTTTATAAAAGCAATAGCTCACGACAGGCCGTGGTATATGCTCATTATATCACAGCTAAGGGGGTTGTCGACCCTCCGCTTCGCGTCGGGCCGAACCACGCCCCTTAGCTGTGATATAATGAGCCTGTCGTGAGCTATTGCTTAAATAATTGTATTGATGCATTTTATTTGTTTTAATTTTCAGCTTAACTTAAAAGTTTGTAACAGGTAAAGTATATAAATAAATTGTTTAAAGCAAATGAAGGTGAAGTTGCTTCTTAGTGGAGTTATTGTGAAGTTGCGGGAATTGTTGGGGCATGTGCTCATTTCGATTTGGTGTGCTCCACATAAGCTGGAGCTGTCGCTCCTAGATGCCACCAAAGCCACTGACTTTGTTGACATCGTAGAGAAAGGAGTGGACCCTATCTCAGGGCTCGAGTTTAAGGACGTCCCGTCGTCCCGGGGCCGAAAAAAATAGTGTCTGGGAGGATTACATTTTTTTTTGGGACGAGAGTTAAAATAAAAATACCCTGCTAACTCTACTACAAACGGCGATGAAAATTAAACCGACTGCACGTTTTGTGTAGCACACAGTTATTAAACCTCCTTGTCAACATAAACACACACGCACAAAACATTTAGAAACCTGCAAAAATACACACACATGTAGCTACAGCTGTGCCGCTGGCTGTCAGCCAGCCGCCCAGCTGGCTGTGCCCGCAAATTCGCAGGTCTAGCTATGTACTGAGTGTGTGTATTTCGCGGGTTGAGTGATGTACAATGGCATCCCGTGGAGGAATTATGAAATGTTTTACCATTACATCACAAAAACGCACAGCAAAACCAGACCCTGGAGCGCCGGCCTCTTTATTTACTTACTCCTCTTCATCTCCTATGGGTAATAAGGCTGAGATGAGAACTCTCCATCGTATTTAGTCCTTAGCAATATGCTGCGCCTCTCCCCATGTAGGGATGGGTACCGAGCCCCGGTATTAAACGGGCCGGAATTATTAAAGACAGTGGTAACGTTAAGCTCCGACGTTATCTGACTTTTTATCGGTACTGGAGACATTTAAAAAATATGTCATATGTATTATTGCTACATACACATTATATCGCAGTTTTAGTTTCACCAACTCCGTTTCTAATATGCAATAAGACAGAGATAGATAATAGACATGCGTCTATGATGTATTTTCGAGCTTTCCAATCCAGACGAGATCTCTCTCTCCCGTCTGTGTGCGAGGGGGCGGGGCCGTTTGTAAAGGTCTCCTGACTGTGTTACAGACTGTCATCCTGGTTAGTGGTTACTCTGGGTTCTGTCTTCAGGACACAGTGTTGGATTGTTTTGTTAATTGGATGGGACTTGATTGGATTCAATATTAGAGTAATTTTCTCATTTGTGTGTTTGTTTAAATATATTTGGCCTTTGTTTATGTGATTGAATGATTTACTCAAATAAAAAGGTTGATGAATTATCATCTAATGATTTGTATGATGTTTTATTTATGTTAAAGGTCACTTTGAATGATTTTAACTAATGATAATGTAGAAAAACTAACATTTTAAATTCGGGACGGTCCACATTAATTTCGGGACGGCTTAGATTGTATTTCGGGACGGTTCCGGGAGGATGGGGAAAAAAGTTAGTCGAGAGCCCTGCCTATCTACAGATTCTACTATGGATCTGGTAAACGTAGGAGGGAGGTGAACGCCATATCAGCCGTTATAGACGAGGATCCTGTCTATTTCTCAGCACCCTGTGGCACTAGGTGGATGGCGTCAAGACTCCAGGCATACAAAGCTGTCATAAAAAATTACAACTCCGTCATCCTACACATGGAAGAGGCTTCAAACAGAAAAACTGAAGAAGGAGCTAAGTGTGTGGGGTACTTGAAGGTACTGAAGTCTGCAAAGTTTGTTGATGGGCTCCACTTTATGGTAGATGTCTTAGAAGTGTTGGCCAACTTGAGTCTGGCATTCCAGAGTAATGATCTGTTCATTTATGATGTTGATGTAGAGTTGTGTGAGGCCAGGATCAAATTAGAAGGCCTTAAGCATAATGGAGGTGATGTCTACACTGCCTACATGGCAACCTGCAAGGATGGCAAGTTTGACAGTAAGAACAATGGACACATCACTTCACTGAAAGGGACAGGTATTCCAGAAACAGTGAAGAATTCCTTCTTGGACAATTCTGTGAAGTTCCTAGATGTTACGTCCCCACTAGGGGATGAGGAAATGCAACACACACCAGTTGGAATTGGTAATAATTATAATGAGTTTATTAAATAATGTGTAACAAAAATGGCAGGCAAGCAGCCTGGAAAAAAAAAAGGGCCAAAAGGGCACTGATTTAAATGAGGCACCAACAAAGAGAGGACTCTAATAAGGGAGCCTACGTAAATACAAAGGAATAGACACTAATAAACAAAATAGCAACAAAACAACCCTCGCTATCAAAGTGGTACAGAATAACGAAAAGGAGGCTGTGGGAAAACACAGATAAACTAAATGACCACAGTCAACGTAATATTATCCTAATCTAAACGCATCTAATCACACAATACTACACTAATTACGGACCACACGAGTTAACCACTGTTAACCGAAGTTACACACGATTGAAGAGCACGTAACGAGAGGTGGCCGTAACACCCCCTCCCTTAAAGGGATGCTCCACTCATTAGATAATTAATCAAAACTTCAGTATTTAGTGAAACATTATGTTTAAACCATACCCTGAAGAAATCAGCGATATTCCCCGGTAAATAATGATTTTATAGCTCTTTTTTATCAAAACCTGTATATTCCGTCAGGCCGCTGCCATTTTGCCCATTTTCAGTAGTCACGTGATGGTCGTGACGTCATCCATGCGTTCACTTTGTAAACACACGAAAACATGGCGGAGTATTTGAGTTCGGACTCGTCAGCCGAGGAAGAAGTTTTGAGTAGGGATGCACCGAATATTCGGCCACCGAAAATTATCGGCCGAAAATGGTTAAAAAGGCCCTTTCGGCTTTCGGCCGAAAGGGTTTTAGCACCGAAAAAATATCACCGAATGTCAGAACAGGCTTACGTTGGTAACCTAACGTGTTGTTGTGATGACGTAATAAAGACGCGGCGACCATGCTCGCGGCTGGCTCACAGGGGGGGGAACATTGACCTTTGTCATCGAGATTGCCCTGAGCCTTTAACAAATCGTATTAAATAATCTGATGACAGACTGTAAACAGAATAGCTGAAATTTTAACAAACTAAATAACTCAGTTTCCTCTAATCATTAACCCATGTTTGTATCATGTAGTTAACTCCGTGTGTTGCTGCTAGCATACATAACACCTGACGTGGAAACGTTACTCGTGGATGGGGCTACAGAGCTGCTAGAAAGACGGTCGAACCCGGTACATTCCTCCGTCTGCATGCGGTGCACTTTTGCTAAATGTTTAGACAAATTGCTCGTGCTTACATGCTAAACTCTTATTGCACTTATGGTAACAAGTATTCTCCACATCGAGACGGGTAAAGTTTAACCACACCTCGGAGCGCGTTCTCTCCGCCATCTC